TTCAGCACCCTTGGATGAAGATCATCCAGGCCTGCTGACTTAAACACATCCAGCCCCTCCAAGTGTCTCTTCACTAAGTCTGTGCTAGCAGTTGGTGGGCTGGTTACCCCTTTATGCCTGTCTTTGATCCAATTGGGAAATTCCCCCTCCCCATCTGTCACTTATTGCCCTAGTTGGTCTTGTGGGGGACCTATGCTACCCTGCACCAATCTTGTCCATATGTAATATTTATTGTGCATCTTTTCAACATAAATAACTTTTTGTACATAATTATCCAACTATTTCTCTGTCGCCCCCATCTCAAGCATATCTGTGTATATTTGAATAAGTATTGCCTTGTTTCTTGTCTTTTCTCTTGTAGTAAATCTTATCCCCTTAAGTTCTTCTCTTTCACCTACTGCTGCATACATCCCCCAAGAATCCTCATAACCTTCTCAGCTCCAATACAAAATATCCCAAGACTTCTGGTTAGGAAAGGTGACAAAGCTATTCAAATATTCTACTTTAACATCTAAAACTTCAAACAATACTCTAATGTAATAAAGGCCTTAGCCCGTCTGCCTGTCCATCCATCTGTAACGCTCTTGGAGCACTCTGGTTACCGAAACAACCAATCACAGTGCTCCAGTAGCGTTACAGACAGGAGGCAGCAACAGCATGGTGGGGATGGTGAAATGGAGGGGACGGAGTGGCCCTGCTCCTTGGAGGCGGTGGCAGTGCAAGTTGCTGACAGAGAGGGACGGAGGGGACAGTGGGGCTACCTTCCCCTCCCCCAGGAGGTGATGGGGGTAGGGTTAGGGTTAGCAAGCTTCTCCCCGCCCACCCCCTCCCCTCATCATTCTTGACAGGCAATTCAGTAGTTTTATCTATAAATTCATATCTATTCATCTTCTGAATTCTCCATTCTCCTCCCCCTGTTAATACTGCTCTTCTGCTCAGGCATAGATTACCTGCTACTCCATCTCTCACTTCCTCCCATCTCCTTTCTCTTTTCAGGTCTAATTTATTCTTCCCATGAGTCTTCTTCCCTTCAATCACTATTTCCTTTCTGATTTCTCTCTTCTGTCCTCCTCGTCCTCTCTTCCCCTGTTCTTACTGCTGACTGGATTCTTTCCTCATTGCTTCCCTCATAAAGCTTCCTCCAAAACCACACCTTTCTTTCCTACCTTCTTTTTTCCCCTCTTTCTCACCTTCATCCATCTGACTCTCAGTCTTCATTTCCACTCTCCAATTTGCTTCTCATCTCTTGATCCACTTTCCTTTCCTTAACTGCCACTCTGCTCTCCACAACTACAACTGATGCTCTTCTGGTCTCTGAGAACTCCACCCCCAACTCCCTGGCAATGCCCGGATGCTACTGGCATTGATCAAGGCAGGAAGCTGGGCCTCCACTTGGCCGCTACACTTGATCTTAGCCAAGAAGCAGCTGAGTAGCTGCGCCACTCGTGGGAATCTACCACAAAGATAGTTTAGTACAGCCCATCTAAGTAAAATATATGCTAGCCCCGATTGCATGCAGTCCCCCTTAGTGATGACTTTTTTTCAAGTCATGGTGAGCCACTACATTGAATACACTTCAACATCCTCTTCGCTCCCAGAGCTAAGTTGCACCTTTCTTTCCCATTTCCAGTTATTTCTGTTTCTTCAGCATCCTTAAATATCTGACAGACATCACCAAATGGGGCACCAAACCATTTGCCCAGAATAACTCTGCCTCTCTTCTCTCTCTCATGATTTACCATATAGTTCATTGAGCTGGGCCCCAGCAGAGTCAATAGTACTTCAAGCCACGGTGACTTATTATGAGCCAGCAGTGTGCCCTTGTTGTCAAAAAGGCTAACAACATATTGGGCTGCATTGATAGGAGTGTTGCTGGCAGGTCAGAGGAAGTGATTATTCCCCTCTATTCAGCACTGGTGAGGCCACACCTGGAGTACTGTGTCCAGTTTTGGGCCTGCCACTACAGAAAGGATGTGGACAAATTGGGGAGAATTCAGCTGAGGACAACAAACATGGTTTGGAGGCTGGGGCACATGACTTCTGAGGAGAGGCTAAGAAGAGAAGACTGAGAGGGAATTTAATAATAGTCTTCAAATATCTGAAGGATGGTTCAAAAGAGGATGGAGCTAGACTGTTCTCAGTGGTGGCAAATGCCAGAACAAAGACCAACAGTCTCAAGTTGTAGCAAGCAAAGTTAGGTTAGATATTAGGAAGAATTTTCTCACTAGGAGGGTAGTAAAATACTGGAACAGGTTACCCAGAGAGGTTGTGGACTCTCCATCCTTGGAGGTTTTTAAGACCTGGCTAGACAAAGCCTTGACTGAGGTGATCTAGTTGGGGATGGTCGTGCTTTGAGTCTTGGAATCCTCCAAAAATTTATATACACATAAGGTGGAGAGCAACCTGGTCTGGGTCCATTTCATGGAGGGCAGTGCCACTCTAATCATATGCAACAGGCTGAGGGTGCTGAGTGTTCAGTGGCATCAGATCTGGGTGCAGCCATCAGGTTCTGAAGCCTAACACAGAACCTTCTGGCAGTGTCATAGCTGATGCCTGCTTGATATGGTAGATGCTTCTGTCTGGATCAGGAGCTGAGTGTCAGGATTCCTAGTGAACTAAAACTTTGGCCAGGTTCTGGAGGGAGGGAGGGGAAGAAGGGGAAGAGACAGAGAGAAGAGAAGATACAGAGAGAGATGCTGCTGCCTGCCCAATGTGGCAGCAGCTGCTGCCTGAGTCCATGGCTGATGCCACTGCCAGGTTCTGGGTTAGGGCTCTGGGCAGGAACTTCCCCTGCACCAGAAGGGTAGAGGGTAATCTGTATCTGGGATCCTAAACTTGCCTGCAACATCCACAGATGATGCTGATGCCCACCTGCTGTGGTGAAAGTCCCTAATGGGCCCAGAATTAGTGCCACCCACCTGCCTGCCCACCTTACACCATGTAGTGGCCAGAGTCACCAGCCGCCAATGGACCAGATCCAGTGAACTAGCTGCTGTCTACCCATGGGCTAGATCAAATCTGTTGGTGAGCTGGATTTAGCCTGTGGGCTGTATTTGCCCACCCTGGGTTACAGTGGCAGCCTCTGAATAACTTCATAGAATCATTGAAATTTAGGGTTGGAAGGGACCTCAGGAGGTCATTTAGTCCAACTCCCTGCTCAAAGCAGGACCATCCCCAACTAGATCATCCCAGCCAGCTTCACAGCTGTGAAGCATGTGTTTGCATAGGGACAATACTGTATAGTTTCATAGTTTCATAGATGTTAGGGTCGGAAGGGACCTATTAGATCATTGAGTTTGACCCCCTGCTCTGGGCAGGAATGAGTGCTGGGGTCAGATGACCCCAGCCAGGTGTCTGTGCAATATCCTTTTAAACACCTCCAAGGAAGGGGACAGCACCACCTCCCTTGGAAGCTTATTTCATATTTTGGCAACCCTCACTGTAAAGAATTTTTTTTCCTGATGTCCAATCTGAATTTGTTCTCTTCCAGTTTGTGGCCATTATTTCTAGTTACCCCAACAGGCACCCTGGTAAACATTGTATCCCCTATGTCTTGCTGCCCCTCTACCCCCGATGAGTTTGTAGGTGGCCACAAGATCATGTCTCAGCCTCCTGAAGAGGTTCGGGTCTTCCAATTGGTTCACATAGGGCTTTTTCTGTAGGCCTTTAACCAGATGAGCGGCCCTCCTCTGAACCCTCTTCAGGCCATCCATATCCCTCCCAAAGTGTGGCACCCAAAATTGGACGCAGTACTCCAGCTGCAGCCTGACCAATGCCACATAGAGGGGAAGTATCACCTCCCTAGACGTGTTTGTGATGCACCTACTTATGCAAGAAAGGCGATTAGCTTTACTTATTACCTCATCATACTGGTGACTAATGTTCATTTTGGAGTTGACTACAACTCTGAAATCCCTTTCCGAAGTTGTGCTACTTAGAGTGGTACCTCCAAGGCTGTAGGAGTGTTGATGATTCTTCCTCCCCAGGTGCAACACATGACACTTATCCTTGTTAAACTGCATCCTATTCTGTTTGGCCCATTTCCCCAGCCTGTCCAAATCAGCCTGGATTTGTTCCCTGCTGTCTAGTTTATTTGCCGTCTAGTTCCCTCCCCTACACCCTGGGAGGTATGGTCTTCCCTACAGCCAAGGGCATGGCTGAGTCATTCAAACTAAGTCCATGTCTATGGCATTTCACAGGTCTGCAGATTTCAGCACATATCTCTGAACTAGTTGTACAGTTGGAAGATATAATGAAATGAGAAACATTTTCATTATTTTTATGAATGTGATACAGACTTCTGTGGGGTTACTTAGATCAAACTGGATTATTAAAAGAACTAAGCAGGAAAGAAAAAAAATAATGAAACTGATAAGAGTCCATGATTAAAAAATGGGGAAGTTATTTATAGGAGAATCAGCCTCTACTTGGCTCAAGCAAGACAGCCAAGATCAAAAGAAATTTACTAAATTTTAAAGGACTTTGGACTGAGAAAAGAAGGGGTGCAGTGGAGTGAGTAACCAGCGGCTGGCAGAACAATTTACAAAAACAGATTTAAGATTTAGGTAAAGAGAAATATTCATAAATACCTTTTATATTTGTTATTCTTTGTCCTGCATGCTTTGTACCTTTGGTAAATAAATAAACAATGCTTTGCTTTGTGTCACTTTAGCTGCCTTGCTAATCACAGGTCAATGAATGAAAAACCTTACAAGTGCCAAATTGACTTGGGTGTGTTGCATTAGCACATTTGAAAAATGAGGGCTGACACTCAGAGACCCAGTCCCACATGGTTCTGTCCAGCATAAAGACCTGTCATCTACAGGATGAACTCAGGAGAGACTGAACAAGTCCAACACACCGTTCACCATGACTGGAAGATAATTCATCATTAGATGGGATAGAAACTTAAGCAAAATTAAAAGAATAATGCCTTGGGAAACTATGGGATGAAGAACACTATAGAAATGCAAAACATTGATGTTTTGGTTCCCTTTTAGGATACCCTGGAGATGTGTGCCCGAGAGAATGAATTCAAAAGCATCCTATTTGCCCTCTGTTATTTCCATGCTGTTGTGGCAGAAAGACGCAAGTTTGGACCCCAAGGCTGGAACCGCTCCTATCCCTTTAACACTGGAGACCTGATTATTTCAGTCAATGTCCTCTATAATTACCTGGAGGCCAATTCAAAGGTGTGTGAAACAAATGAAGCTCCTGAATATGGGGAGTTTAGCCCTTGTGCCCATGTACTGAAACTTCTGAAATCTCTATACTAAAATAATGATTCCTAGCCATTTTCAGATATTTTTACTTCGTAACTTTGTGCGTCATTAGAATAATAAAAGAAACCTCCATTCCATTTGCATCTACTGCAGTTTACAGACTGCATTTATATAAAATATCATCTCTGATCTATGTGAGTGTCCTTGCTACCATTTTAATGAAAATACTTAGAGATGGTTGACTGCCTAGGCAGATATGTTTACTGTAGGGAACTTCAGTAAGATTTGCTTTGCAGTGTAAATCCCTACAAAGTCTACTCTGTAGTCTGGCTTTCTCTGGGTTGGCCACCTTCCTGCATGTAGTGATTAATCTGCTACATAATGTTCAGTTAGTTAGAAAAATGAACAAGGGAAATGAAAACATTCATCCTGAAGACTGATGCTTTTGGTTCATAGTATGCAGCACAATGATGTTGTCAATGGGTCAGCATCTTTTAAGATTCTTTCATGCCCTCTTGGTTCACTGTTTAGGTTCCCTATGATGATTTGCGCTATCTCTTTGGTGAGATTATGTATGGCGGGCACATTACAGATGATTGGGACAGGCGACTTTGCAAAACCTACTTGGAAGAATTTATTAAGCCAGAGATGCTGGAGGGAGAACTGCTTCTAGCTCCAGGGTTTCCTCTCCCAGGGAACATGGATTATAATAGTTATCACCAGGTAAACTTTTGTTTTCTGTTATTACTTATAACACAAATCAATAACTTCCATGATAACCCCCTACTTTGTTATATGAGACAGTGAATAGGGTTACTGCATTTTATGCAAAAACCCTATTGCTAAGGTACCCACCCACCTGCTCCCTTCTCCCCACATCCCCTTCTTCTTCCCCCCTCTATTCCTGCCCGCCCTTCCCATGCTCCCCTTCCCCTGATTCCCTACCACCTGTTGTGTTGTGGATTAAGTTTACTGAGGCAAGAGCTACTTTTACAAAGAGGTTTCTTTATTCATGCTAACAGCACATGCAAACAGCCATCAGACTCTCTCCAGCTCTATCTCTAACTCTACCTCTCTCAAAGTTTTATAATCATCTCCCCTTTCTAAACAGAAAAGACAGCTCTATTTCAACCAATATATATAAATGCACACAGTAATTTAAATTTTAATAAACTAACAACTTTCCGTCTTTGCAGTGCTCTTCACAGTGTTGCAGATCTGTGAAGTATCACATTAGTCTCTGTGCTGTCTCACTCACGTCTGTGCTCTAATCCATGTCTTTCTCTGGTTTGGACTCTATTCCATCTCCTGTCCTTCTGTGGTGTGCTGTGAGTGTTTCCTATCCATTTGCTTACATTTCCTTAACTTGTCTCCACTGCATAAGACCATGAGTGACAACTGTCTCCTGCATCCATGTTTTACCATCACATATGTACGTCCTATTTTGGGGTAGCAAAGGTTCTAATTCCAGTGACCCCTTATCTAAAACAGCTTTTGTTTATATGTATTATGGATCTTGTAAGCATTTATATCAATTTTGTAGTTTATTATTGGTGATTAAAAATTAGGTAGTCTTGTTCTAATTTTCCCATTAAATAAGAGCTCAGCTGGTGAAAGCCATGTTTCAAAGGAGATGTTCTATACTTTAGAAATGCTAGGTAAGGATCTGTATGAAACTCCTCTGCTTTTTTTTATCAGCCTTTTAGTTATTTTGACACCATTTTCTACATGTCCATTAGACTGTAGATATCTGGGGTAGAGATAATGTGTGTAAAACCATATTTCCTTGCAAAGCGCTTGAACTCACACCCATCAAATTATAGTATATTGTAAAGCCTGACCACAACTGGTATGCCATGTTTGGCAAAGATAGATTTTATGTGTGCTAGTACATGCTTTGCAATAGTGTTGTCTAACTTTTGCTGTTTTCATATAGTGAGAATAATGGTCTAAAATCAATACATATTTTTTTCCAGCATGAGTGAACAGATCTATAGCTAGTTGGGACTATGGGGCCAATTCTGTCTCAGTCACTGTTGTCAGCTGTTTTACCAGACTTTATTTTTCACAGGTTGAACATGCTTTAATATACTTTTGTATGTCCATAATGATTTGTGGCCAGCACAGAGCTTTTTTAGCCCTTCTTTGCATTTCTCTATACCCAAGTGTCCGTCATGTATCCTCTATGACATATCCTGATGAAATGCTTTGTGAACAGCAAGTCTGTTGTTTCTAAACAAGAGCCCATCAATTACTGACAGCTCTGCTTCAAACTGGTGATATGGACTGAGTATGTATTCTGCAGGCCATCCTGCATTAATGGCTTGTATTACTATTTGTGGAGTCCCATCTTGTGCCATGGCATCTGTGAATACACTCTACATTTTATCAGAAACTGGGCATTTTCTGTAACAAATTGACATGCACAATGTCTAACTCTCATTAGGTTCTACTTGTCTTCTATCAAAAGCTCTAGACAGAGTATCCATGACCACTAACTCTTTCTCTTGTTTATCCCTTCTAATCTTAAATCCTATAACTGCAACTGAAAGAATAATCACTGAAATCTCTGAGCTGCATCAAAGTGCCCCCTCTTTACTATTGTCACCATTGTCTTCTGACCCATTTCAGCTCATACAAGAAGATATAGAACTTTTTACATCCATGCACCAGTGCTAAAGCTTCCTTTTCAATTTGTGCATACTATAATTCAGTTTTACTTAAAGCCCTAGAAACATAAGCTATGGGTCTCCAGTGTTCCCCAAACTTCTGCATGAGTGCTTCCTCAAGACCCTCTTTAGGGTGCATCCACATATGCAAGCACGTGTGCTTGCAGCAGCTCAAATAGAAATGGTACAAAGTTGAGCCAGGGTATTTTGTCTGGTGCATGTGCTCAGACATGCACCTTGTTGTGGAGCAAATTGTGCCACTTGGGGCAAAATAACCCTGCCTGGCTCCCCCCGGATCTGCAGCCAGGGGGAGCTAGAGCCCAGGGCCAGCACCTGTGCTGTCCCCAGCAGTATAAAAAGCTGCCCTGTCCTGGCCCCAACAGTACAAAAAGCTGCCCTGCCAAGTAACTGAAGGCTGGTCACTCTCAGGAGCTTCTGGGGCCCAGCCAATTGGTACCTGGGGACACTACCCCTTGTGCCAGCCGGATTGCTGAAGCAGCCCTGAGAGTTCCCTGCACCCTTTACCCACTGCAGCAGTCTGGCAGTGGGGGCTGCTGCCTGGCTGTGACCTGCTGTGTACCTGCCAGACCAGGATGAGGCATCTGCCCCTCTGAGCCAGCTGCCAGTAGACTGTGACTACAGGGTTGGCCTCTGTGCAGCACTACTGCCATGTGTGCCCCCTGCCTGGCCACCTGGGCAGCTATCACCTGGAAGATGTTCTGGGTGTGGTGGCCTGCTTTGAACTGTCAAAGCATGTCCTCCTGGCCCCATTTGGCCAGGAGGTCAGCCACAGCCAGATGGGTCCAAGACGCCGGCTCTGAGCAGTCAGGGTCCTGCCACTGGCCTCCTCTCTAGCAGGAATTCTGGTGCTCCCTACTGGAAAACTGAAAAATCCCTGATAAAAAAAAAATCCCAAAGTCACTCTGTAAAATACCCCAAAATCCATGTGCCTCCACAATTAAAACAAAAGACCACTATAGAGAGAGAGAGAGAGTGAGATAGAGACAGCAGTCAGTTGGGCAATGTTTTATTGATATATCTACAGTGTTAAAGCACTGGCTGTTGGGAGGCTATGGCCACATAAGGGTTACGGCCCCCCAACAAGGGCCAGATGGCCTCCACAGGGGCTACCACCCCCCTGCAAGGCCCAGCCCCCCCCAACCCCAGACACCATCACTTAAAAAAAAGAAAAAAAACCTGGAAAAACCAACCTTTACTAACCTTAGAAGCAGGGGCTGGGGGGGGCTCCGAGGCCTCCTGGCAGAGCCTCCCCAGGCAGCACAGGGCAGCGGGGACCAGGAGGGCCCAGGCTGGGGCCTCTGGGGCTGTCCCTCTGTGCCGCACTGTGCAGGCAGAGCCCCAGTGACCCTGATGGAAGCTCCGACTACCAGTAAGTGGTGGGGGGGGGGGGTCTTTGTTT